CATTTCGCCGTACTTCGTGCGGTTCGGGCGTGCATATTTGCGGAAGATGGATCCGAATAAACCCCAGTATTTCCTTCATCCAGGTGCCTATGATCCGGCAACTCTCACCGGCGCAAAGGTTGTATTTCTTTTCTGCAAAAAAAGTAGGGGGAAAAAATTTGCAAAAGTAGAAATTTGAGTTAGAAATTTGAGGTAAAGTTGAGTTAGTTGTATGGAAATTTGAGTGAAATTTTTGTTGAGAAAAAAAAAAAGAGAATTTACAAAAGCAAATTGAGTTATTTGCACAGGAATTTGAGTTAGTTTTTGCAGAAATTTGGCTCAAATTCGAGTTAATTATACAGAAATTTGAGTTGAAGTTGGGTTAATTGTACTCATAAAATTCATTTTAAGATTTTTTGATCTTTTCCCACCTTCTATTGCTTGCTTTTTTTTCAGCTGCAAGTATTGACTGGTGCACCGATGACCGTGGTAGCAGCGGTGCAAAAAGCCCAGCAGCAGCATGTCGCAGCTACGCTTGCAAATGTTGTCGGCGCACCTGTTGCTGTGAATATTGACATACAAGGTTTGTGGCTGTTTCGAGGGATATTGAATAGAAAATTGAAAAATTTCAAAATTTTGATAGGCAACAAAATTTTTGAGCTCATAAAGTGATTGTCGAAGGGAGGGGGAGGCGCGTATTTTGTATTATGCTTTCCTTGAGGAACAGAGTTAGAGGTAGGAAAACTGTGAAGGTGATGTGTAATTTTAAAAAAATGGATTTTCATATTTTCTTTTTCATGATAAATGTTAGAAAAAAGTGACAATTTTTTATCAGAGGCAAAACCTCCTTACTATATCACACAAAAAAAGTAAAATCCGATGCGAAGAGCATGTTGTAATTTTGAACAGGCGATGGGTACTAACTGAAAGTATAAAACCTAGGATCGAAGGACCTGGCACAGCTGCGCCTCTACCGTATGGGAACATTCCAATAACATCATTAACATGGAATACGCAAAGCCAATTGTCCATGCGATTTTAGTTTTGCTACTTAAAAACCGGAAAAATATAAAAAAAAATTGACTGTTGGAAACAATAGTGCAGGTTTGTTTAAGTAGTTCAGAATGTTCTGTAAAACTTTAAAGCAAATAAAAGTGAATCGAAATGTTGTTAAGAATGACATGCCTTCGGTATTTTGACCAAAAAATTTTGTAGCTCTAACTGATATGGCTCATCGTGAATACCAGGCTGGTGATTATTTGAATGCCGAACAGCATTGCTCCGCAATCTGGCGCGCCGATCCAAACAACGTTGGTGTGCTGCTCCTTCTCTCGTCCATACATTTTCAGTTAAAAAATTTGGACAAGTAAGTACTTCGTCATTGGCTATTTTATGCAGAAGTGTAAAAATGCAGAATTCAAATGAGTAGATTCGAATGGCCCAGCTAGCGACAGCACCAGGCTTGCCAATGTGATCATGCATTTTTGCTCTAAACTTGAAGCATTCAAATTGTTAATAGTGTGAATGGTGTTGTAGCTTTACAGTCTAACACATTGGCTCATGTTGGTTGTGTTTTAGCCTTTTCATGAATGCGGAATGAAATAAGCGTCGGCCGGGGCGATAGTGTTGCATCACACGGGGCCAGGCAAAGTCTTAAATTCCAGTGTAAATGTTTGCCATAAATTTCGCACGATGGGAAATGGTTAATTTCCGATGACCGCTCGTTCACGGGAAAATGCAAGATCGGACAATTGACAGGATGGCGAGAGAAGGATAACGAGAATTGCAAAATTCACTCCTTTTTGAAGTTGCAGCGAAATTGAGTATTTCTCATGTCCATGTGCTGGGCACTCAGCCCCAAGCTGAATTCAGACCACATGTGAAAGCAGAATATTCTTGCGAAGTTTTAGCTTCGCAGCTTGTCCATTACCTAACTCGCCACTTCACTACAAATGTCTTTGACGTGTTTATGGTCCCACGAAAGTGCGATTTGAAATTCCACCTTGGTAAACGGTTTTCCAGATGGACAACAGATATTTTGACGGAATTACAGCCACTGTTTTCCAACTAGTTCCTGAGTTGGTACATTGCCAATAGTGAATTTTGACCTGACTGTATGCTTGTTGGAACAGTACTTGACAGCTGAATTTGAAATATTTAGCGCGTACATAGATGAAGAATATTCCTGCAAAACTGCAGCCCCTTATGTTCATTGGTTCTTGAAATTGTTTCTCATCAAAAAAATTTGAATATTTTTTCATACATGAGGTCTGGGTGCGCACGAACAACCTCTCGATAATATGCGTTTTTGCATTTGCATGCGATTCAAAAAAATGAAAATTTTTAAAACTTTTTTTAAAGGTCTATGCAATTTTCAACACTGGCCATTAAAGCAAATCCGAATTGTGCGGAAGCTTACAGTAATTTAGGCAATGTGTTCAAGGTCAGTTCCTTTTTTTGCTTTTTTCAGAAATGTAACTTTTATCCAAAAAACCTTTTTTTTTTATAAAATAGAGCTAGTCGAGAGTGAGTGTCAGCAGATGGATTAAGCTGGATTACTAATGGTACCTATACAATGTTAGAACATAGCGCAGCAGGGTGCCAGTTTGAATTTATGTGGATGAAAAAGATCCAAAATCGAGAACGAAGTTGACAGCTGCATCAGTGACGAGAAGAACATAGAGATTTTTTGGCTTAGTTTTTTTCCTAACAAAAAAAAAAGTTTGCAGGAAAGAAATCAACTTACTGATGCATTAGAAAATTATAAAATAGCTGTACGACTGAAACCGGATTTCATCGATGGATATATCAATCTAGCAGCAGCACTGGTGGCAGCTGGCGATCTGGAACAAGCTGTTAATGCGTACCTTTCGGCGCTTCAGTATAATCCGGTAAGAGCTTGAATATTACTAGCAACTTGAACTAATAATATTTGTAGAAATGAGATGAAAGGGAAGGGAGGGGGGAAGAAACATACAAAAAACAAAATGCAATTTGTAGCGCTGAAATGAAATTGTAATGGAAATACTCTTCGACCCAAATGGCCCATAGCTGACAATCGTTCAACATCCATTATTAAGAAAGCTGAGATTTGAAGCGGGCAGAATCGGGAGGATGTAAAAAAGTGGGGGGAGGTAGAGGGAGGAAATTCCTTATTCATAGCTTAGCATTTAGCTGCACAGTTAATCAGCTTTTCTGACTGTTTCGTCCGGTGCTACATCATCAATTGGCCTGGTTGTTTTGACCAGTGCTGCATATTACCTAGTGGTTAGCCTGTCGAAAGTCTGATCGGTGCTTGGTTCGTCTTCCCTGATGGAAGCCGTTTTGCAAGATTTTAGTAGTTTCGAGCTGCCCCCGTTGTATGTGTTGATCATTGTCATGTCTCAAACTTAACTAGTATTGGGCCACGACAAAATATACTGAGCAAAAGAGCGGGTATGTAGTATGTACTTTACCGGTGTTACCTTATGATAGTCAGGAAGTGGTACTTTATTTCCCGTTCCCCCCTCCGCTCCCTTGTTATTTTCTTCCTTAACTGTATTGATCCACTGATGCACTAGTAATGTGATTTTCTCCTGTTATCTGAAGTTAAGGGTCAACGTTGAAACATTGAACAGTTTTACTATGAGGTTTTAACTGGCCCAACTATTTTTTGGCGTAATTTCAGGAGTTGTACTGTGTACGAAGCGATCTTGGCAATTTGCTGAAAGCAATGGGACGACTTGAGGAAGCTAAGGTTGATTTTTCATGAACAAACCATAATTGTTTTTAGCAGAAAAAGAAGTTAAAATAGGGGCTGTTAACTACTCACTGAAGAGAGGAAGATAGAGGAGGCGACGGACGAAAATGTATAAGT